TGACATCACACACGTTGTTAAAATGCAAGTATAATTTATTTCACTCACCATGTAAATTTGTAAAACCTTTTTCACATGTACATATTGTAATAATGTATAAATAATTATGAAATGAAATTCATGAGCACTGCGTACCACATTCTGTATTAATTTGAGAAAAATAAAATAAAAGATACATTTGCTTACTGTAGTTAGCCTCACCCTTTTATCTAAATCACTAAGGTGGATTATCTATGTAATGTTACCGGTAATCTTTTTTCTATTGTTATTTCCCCTGCGGAATTTATTTTTTTTTTGGACTCAAAACTAGTATACCAGATAAGCGTGACTTGTAAGCTAGGAAGATTACAACTTCCTGTATAGAATAAATTAGATTCTTAAAATTATTGCTCAAATTCTAATCTTTTTTATTACATTAATTCTTTCTACCTAAATTCAGTACCTTTACAGTCATGTATCCTGTGACATTGTTGTAAAAAAGACACTATCTAAAATGTGCATTAATTAAATCTACTTTTGTTATATAAGTATTCATTACAAATTATAAAATACCTATCTGGACGTGCTGTTTTCTTGATGGTCCCTGGTCCATATCCTACCAGCCCTGCGGGAGGCTTGGACTAGGAAGTAGATTATCTTCAATTGCGAAAAAAACACCAGAAGCATGCAAAACATGTTTTTAAAAATTTTCTATGAAATGGAATTTATTTTTTTATAATTCTTTTTGAAGTTTCTTTTTTTCTTTTTTTTTTCCCCATCAGTTCAACAGTGAAGTCCGTGATAGTAGGAATATTGTTGTCATAATGGAAGTTAGGTACGCTGTTAGCGTCATTGGATACCAGGCATTGTGGGACAGTCTGTTTCTACTTCTATCGTACACTTAATTACACTTGTTTTATTTTCTCTGCACTGGTTCTCACAATTATACCCTCCCCCTCTACCTGCCTCTATTCCTCCCTGTCCGTACCTTATAGGTGTTAAGGAATATAACCCCAAGGAGTGCTTTTGTTGTGATTCCCCTTTTTTTTTAACACTGGTCTCTGTATGTGCATCTACTTTATATTGTGCAATGGCTTGGTCCTAGACCCATCGTTATCGAAGGCCTCAACACTGACCTGCCATGTCGCTACTTGTTGGCAGTTTAGACCAATAGCTTGTCGCCACGTCACAGGTCCAACTTCACGACAGGTGACGTGTCAACGAATTATTGGTCTAAACTGTCCACGGGATGCGACGTCGCAGGTCAGTGTTGAGGCCTTCTATAACTTGTTGATCCAAGTTGAAAAATGGTACATGGCTAAGAGACCTTAATTGTGTACCATATAACGAACACCATAATACTACATGAATGATAGCTCTAACATTACTGTAATACATGTATGATAGTACAAACCGTATGTTAATACACGCATGTTAATGCAAATAATACTGTAATACCTGTATGAATATACAAATGTTCCTTTAATATAAAACATGTATGATAAAAATATTATGAAGATACATGTATGACAAAATGAAGCTTATTGCATGTATTATAACATTAATGTAATATAATAGCTGAATGTAAATGTATTATTTTTACGTGAATTTGTACATAGGAATATATATTGATGATAGTAATTATACGTGCTTTACACTTTGTATACGAGTGGATACAGTTTTAATATCACCTGTGTTTTAGTGTGCATGTGTTAATGTGTTTGTGTTTTTTTTTTGTTATGTATATGTATTGTTTGTATTTGATTAAGTGTGTGTCTGTTTGTGTGTGTGTGTTTGTTAATTTTTACTATGTTCTATTGTTTGGACACTAATAAAGAAATTATGCAGACTTGATATCAACTTCAAGAGTTCATGGGTTGATATTTGTTAATGTTGATAGTCACGTTTTTCATTGTTTCCAGCAAGATATTTCTCTGATGTTATCATATTTTATATAACTCATCTAATCTTATTTATCTTATCTTTTCTTATGCAAAGTTAAATGGAATCGCTCTCCGTGGTATATATATTCACCTATAAATTAATTGACAAGGGCAGAGAAACCCTGCAGATGATAGTATTTTCATTATTATTTCCCCTGCTTTGCATTTACTTTATTTCTCAATTTTTTGAAAAGTGAGTTAGACTCATTGAGATGTATTTACAACTATACAGCATTGAGAAACTGCTTCCTATTTGCCGATGTCTTGACTTAGTGAAGAAAAAGCCAGCAATTTCCGAACATTTTATAAACAGAAGCTTTCAAAGCTAAATTTATACTTATTCATAGTTAATTTATTAGCTATTCAAATCATTTTTGTTTGATTCGGAAATAGATATATCAACATTGACAAATCACGTCGATCTCTTCTTTTAGCGTTCAGGCGCCCAATTTCACTATTTAGAGTATGTCTTTTAGTCCAAAGCCCTCAAATATCGGAGCAGATCTGACGATAAATTAAAAACGTATAACTTAAACATCCATGTTCTTACGTTGTAAACCTCTCCAGCCTTCTCAATGAGAGGTCCACGAAAGACTTCATCGCAGAAGAAAATGGTAATTTTCATTCTCCTCTAGCAATTTCCTTGTATCCTCCACACAGATGCAGAGATTATGGAGGGGTGGGGGAGAGTAGCCCAACCGCTCCAGACCCTGCGTCTTAGGTGGACTCCGCGAGAAGGATACTTGGACACAGTCCCACCCTTTTTAAGCACCTACACTCCGTGGTGGGATTCATCCCTTACAGCTCGGTCCAGGTATCTGGTAGCGTTCTGTAGGGTCTGCCTGTCTTCATACATGGCAAGACCCCCGCAGGCACCAGTTCCATCTGTTCCAAGACTAGTCGTATCCTTGAATGTGTTTCTGAGCACCCTGGAGTCCCACCAACATACTATTTGGAGAGTGTTGTTTTTTTTTACATCCGTGTATGTACTGAATAGATAATACTAAGGACTGCTTTGAGTGGCAGAGAAATGAGAGACATAAATACTGAAAGATGTGACGGCGTATGCTAAGAAACGGATAGATACAGAAGAAATATAGTTGGTTAAAGGGAGGTAATGGTTTCTGCATAAGATATTACTTAGATTCTACCTTTCATACAATAATAAGGCCCGCTGGTACATCAACAGAGGTGAGCAAGCTTGTGAGATTTGTAGTATGGTATTATCTTTCCGCTCTTGTGGGCTCCACACATGAAACGCCCCCACGGCTCTGTGTACTGGTAAGGCCGCCTCTGCAACCCCCAACTCCATAGCCATTAAACGGTGACGACCTAGAAAAGTTCCTGTTTCTCATTCACCTGTTAACTAACGTATCCATTACCTATATTTGGGCGTTTCCTTGATAAGACCGAAATCCCACCATTGAATCGAAAGAAACAGAAATAGTCTATCCGCTGACTTCCAATAAACAATCACAATACATAAACAGGTCAATCTCTGCGTCTCTGTGTTCCATGTCTCTCTGTAAACATCATTTTGGCCAGAAGACCCGGAAGTATATTAAGCTCATGCAATTCTTCGGTTTTCTATTGACTATTTGCATGCGTTAAAAATAAAGTCTGCAAAATAAAAATTGAATTTTGAAGAGAAAAAAAAAGCAACACTATAACAATACAAAGACTGATATTTAGTGACCTTCGCTATTTGCGTCTTAAGCTGTGCTTAAACGTATGTCTGTGTGTGTATATAGTCTGACATAGATAAAGTCTGACTCATTCATACTAAGTATGGGCAAACTTGTTTGTTTATATTGGTGTGTTTGTTTCACTTTGAAAGCACTTAAAGTCCTGTTCATTTCAAGGTAATTGCAACTACTTTTGAGATCTTAAACGCGTCACTTTAACAATTTACTGTTTACTGGTTGACTCCCTGGCTTAATGAAAGATCGGATCGCCAGAGTGTTAGCAATGGTAAAAAGTTGAAACAGGATAAACAAGGATAGTAGGAAAATATTAGAGACAAGGATACAGAGAAAATTTAAAACAATGATAGAAAAACATTGGAGAAAAAAAGTGAAGTTCCCCTTTCAGACCTTGCGATCTATGGGGAAGATAATGTAAAGGTCATCTGTGTCTGTGGCCCAAGAGACAACATCAGAGACAAGGATAAAGAGACAATATTTGAAGCAGGATAAACAAGGTTGGTAGGAGAAAATTTGAAACTGGACGAACACAGAAAGTTGGATTATTTGAAACAGGGCATAGGAGGATGAGGAACAATATTTGACAACAAGATAAATGTCAATACTTGAAAGGCATCTCTAAAGATCTAGTACAACTTAACCAATGTAGGGCGTAGTTAATTCTTCATTTCTAACTTGAATTAAAGTTCCACAAACTTCTTGTAGGAACAAAACTCGATGTAACACGGATAGACACGGATTACTCTTCAATATTGAGAAAAGATACCAACAACAGAGCTAGGTAGGCCTTAGCGTGGAACCCCCAAGGAACAAGGCGTAGAGGAAGACCAAAAAGAACACGGCGACGCAGTGCACGAGAGGAAGCCGAGAGGACAGGAAAGAGCTGGGAAGCCATTAAAAAAAAAAACTAGCTAGAGACCGTGGAAAGCGGCGTGTTTTTACTGAGGCCCTATGTTCCATGAGGAACTTAAAGGAAATATAATGACGATGATAACACTTCAATATAGATGTAGGTAGAAAGTCCAAAATACCTAAAACAAGATAAAATTTACTATAAAAAACTTACGTCTTTTCTCTCACACGTCTGTCGTTTGTTTCCCTACTTCAATTTTCAAACCAGTCTTTAATAACGTGAATGACAGATTATCTCATAGTTTCATCAGAATGTAATCAGCCTACACAACCAAATCATCCGCCCACCTTTATTATGGTTTCATCAGAATCTATTTAGCCTACACAATTAAATCATTCTCTCTTTTGTATTACGGTTTTATCAAAATCTATTCACCCTACACAACCAAATCATCCGCTCACCTTTTTTATTTGGTTTCGTCAGAAACACGCACATACTCTCCATAACAACGAACACATATGAATTATATATGTATATATATATAAATTGTTTTATTCGAAAATATGAAGCTGTCAAAGAAAGGGACACAATGTATTCATCTTGATTCTAGAAGGCACCATCGATATAACAAAATAAAAATCAACTTTGAACAATTAAGTTACTTCCCCCTTGGAAACACTAAGAACAGATTAAAATGTCTAGAAACCTAAGCCAACATGGCTGTAAGTGTTCAGGACATGTCATTTCAAAATGACAGACATAATACATAATTCATATAAATAGTTTCTATAAATACATTGTAAATAAAGGCTCATAAAAAATAACTTTATATGTTAATAATAAAGTTTTACAACATAATAAAATTCAATATTTTCAATAGTTGACTACATAAGAAAAATAATAGACGTCCTTTTTTACAAAAAAAAAAAAAAAAAAAATATGAAAAAATTGGAAGATATTTTATATGCATTGATTATTTACAAGTTGCCTTACAATTTGCTTAATTTGTTTATAGTGCATTTGTCTTTGTGAGTAGGTTGTTTTGTTAGTTTTGCCTATATTGTTTGATGAGGGTACTTGTGTGTGTACGTCGGAAAGTATCGGCATCACAGAAAGAGCTGCCAAAACACCCATTTTACAGATAAAGAGGCCTACAGAATGACAATAAGCAGACAAATTAGGCTTGTCTTCGAGTCCGAAAATTAAATAAGGAATGCAGTATTCCCGTGGCTACGCAGCCCCAGCTGTAACCTACATATTTTAGCCACACCCAGCGCTGGCATAAAATTTTCTGAACAGTTTATTTGAAAAATTCCACATTCAGGTACAGTGGAGAGAGAACGAAGAAGATGTCGTTCAAAGAACATCTGGCTGGATAACATTAATATATGGGCCAGCCTCTCCCTTGATATCCTGGACAGCTGCTGTGGGAACAAATGGAGGGATTTGGTCACGTGAGCTGTCACAGCAACCTTACGACGAAAGGACAGGTGAGATGGCATTCAAAACTTACTTATGAATTGCTTTGATTGAGGATTTTGCTTTCTTTAATTTAGCAATTCATTTACAAGGAGTCCGTCTGATTGTTAAAATGTAATGCTACTCATTCAGCGAGCCGTTCCATTTGTTAACAGTACGTCCACTATTGGGACCTTGATTGGGACAGACTGTTGAAATCAGTGATAAGAGAGTGGCACCAGGCTGAAGCGACTAGAGAGAATTAGAGGCCTGGAGTCATGGAACTAAAAAATAAAAAGAAAAGAGATATGCATAACGATAAGATGGTGATGCAATTTCGGGAAGGGAAGGTGAAACTAAGGCCTAGACTCCATCTGTGAAGAACAGAAGCCACTGTCTCAGATATACATAATTTGCTAATGTTGACCCTCGTTGAGTTGCCTTTTATAAATGGATAAACGAACTATCAAAAGCCTTGGATAATAAATATGTAACATCTACATTCTACATGTGTGTGTGTGTGTGCGCCTACGTTTGTGCTTATCTATGGCCAAGTAAGTCGAAGTTAATAGGAGAGATGTGTAGCCAGAACAAGCGCTTTTACTTTTCCCTTCTAGTGTCTAGCGGCATGTATATATTAGTGTAGATAGGACTGTATAATATTGCGGTATTCAGAAGTCCAACGGCAGGATTTATACTTCTATTTGAGCTGAATTCGCCCCAGAGGCCAACTACATAGGTACACGTAGTAGTCTTAAGTTTTCATTCAATATTTTACAAAATGATTAATTTCAGTAACGAGAAAAGTAATTGTTCAATAAAATATGGACACAATTGATGGATAAAAAAATAAGAGCTACATTAATTTTTTTATTACTTGATGAAGAAAATGATTCATCAAAAAGAAAAGTTTTGTTTTTACTAGTCTCCCTTTAGACACATTAAAATAATTATATAGTTGTCTCCCTTACTTATGTAACATTGGTCTCGTGATAAGCAGAGTAAAGAAAAAGCAAAACCAAAAAAACAAAAACAGACTAAAATTAGAAACATTAACATTCAATTGTAGTAAAACTTGTTTAGTTGTACTTAATATTGTGTGTTTTAACACACTATTCTAGGCTAGAACTGGGTGCTTCAATTTAAAACATTCTTGATAGGCTGTATAGTAAAAGATCTACATGAGACGATTCAACCAAAGACTATACTGTAACTATTACTGTCGAATCAATGATAATACTGGCATATATACATGTAATGTGGCAGTAAGGTATAACACTGGACAAAATTAAAAATCACGCAAAAAAACATAAAAAATGACAGCCCTTTAATTAAAAGACTTTTTTTTTTTTTAAACTTATTTCGAACATCCATTCGAAGATGAAGAGTGTGAACATCGCCGGCACAAGCCTCTGAATAGACGGTAGGGAATGACGGCGGTATGTCTGGGTGAGGAAGGTCCGAGATGCCTACCACACGGCCACGCAGCCCTCCTATAATTATTTATTAAGTTAGGCTGGTTATCATTTGTGATCATTTGAATCTTATTATTAAATCTTAAGAAATGTTAGGCTATCGTAATTTCTTGTTTATTACATGATCTAGGCAATAAGGTAGAAAGGTAAATTTTCTTGAACAGAAAAAGGGTGGGGAACAGGCGACATACTCAGGGCCAGATTTACCTGCAGGTACAGACTATAGCTTAAGCCCCCTCCCCCCCCCCCCCCCCCCCCCCCCCAAGAAATATTTAGCACTGACAGACAATATCTGGACATACACAGGGCCACAAAAGAGCCTCATATCTCAAATAGCGTATGACAGAAATAAAAATGCATTTCTTCACAACAGCAGCACCCAGAATTGGGCATACATATGGCTCCTTCTGTCTCGAGTGGATGCGGCCAGATGAGTCACTGGCTTTGGTTTCGTCTTGAGACGGGGCAGAATCTGGAATGACTGCTGAAGCCAATTCTGGAGCGGCAGAGTCTGCCACAGTTCTTGCATGTATATGCATCTGTCTTAGGGCTAGCTGACAGGGAAGCTTTCTTTTTTGAAATAGAACATACAGAGCATGAAAAAAAAAATTACAGAAATCAAACAAGATCAATGCTAATAGAAGATGTACAGGTGTGCACTGAAAAATTGGTTTAACAAACAGTATTACAAGTATTTTGATAACAGATGAGAAGAGATAATAACATCTCGTGGGGTAATTATAATTTTAATAGCAATTTGAAGAATTGGAAATTCTTATATGGTACCGCATTTCCAAAAGACTCCTTACACATGGACAACTAATACAATTATACTCATTCATAACTTTTCATTATTTACCAAATACTCGAACATATTCATACATAATATTAGGCTTTAAAACAGTATGTTTGTTTTAAAATGTATTATGAATTAACGAAGCACAATATATGTGCTAATTGTTAAAACAAATAAATGATAATAGTAATACCACTACATCTCTGCTCATTCAGAGAAATACAAAAGAAACATAATTATATTAATACTTATAATTATTTCAAATGAAGTCACTACCTGGATGAGACCATTACATTCCCTCCCAGAGCTACTACAAGAGAGGCTGTTGGTGACAGCTCGTGGAATTCATTCTATGGATCATCTTGTCAATTTACAAAAAGTATTGAGCAAGCATCATTCAAGATGCACACAAATAATACATTTCACATCTCGTTAACTGGAACTGTAGTCTTTTGGGCTGAGAGAAGTCTGTTGATGTCACCTGGGCTGAGAGGTCTGTTGATATCACCTGGGCTGAGAGAAAACTGTTGATAACACTAGCACTGACAATCATATTTTCAACTTCTCCAGTACAAAACGTTATTTATCTGACTCAATAATTCAACTATTTATCAAATAAACACAAAAATAAAAATTACAGCATTTTACTTTCCAGAGACCCACGCACTGCTTTGACCCTTTAGGATTCAGGAACCAGGACAATCTTTCCGTCTTCACTTTTGATCACATTGGAGTACGTGATGGGCTCTGGAGAAACAGGCTTGACCTCCATCATACCGGACTTCGGGGTAACGACCACATCAATGTAGTTCAGAGGCTTGGATGGCTGCAAAGAAAAACAAGCACAATATAAACAATTCTTTCAACTAGCTAAAGAAAAAGGATTACTTTGAAAAAAACAAAAAACAAAGCATATCTAAGAGAAAGAACCGCTAATTACTGCAATTTTTCTGAAAATGGCAGGGTTAAGCTCCCTATCTGCCCTACAAACCAAAATTAATTAGTACTAGTCGATTAATTAACTGGTTATTTTTTTTGGGGGATTGATCCATTTATTGTCATCGACTATGAATAATTATGCCTAACTTCTACTTGATCCAAGACTGGGAAGTGGGAGAAAAAAAGACCCATCAGAACGTCATAAGGGGATTAAATTCATATATACAGTTATTCCCCTTATTACGATATCAAACAAAATAATCACCAGTAATTAATTAACTAATTGTTTCTTTTTTAAATTGACTCATGTCTTGTAATGTAAAATGCGTAATTGTGCAAAGTTTCAACTTGATCCGAAAATGGGACATTGGAGAAAAAATATGCTCAAGCTTTTTACTGGAGTTAAAACAGAAAGACAGATAAACAGGCACAGTACTTTGTAAAAAAAAAACTCATATTGAGTGGAATTTATGAATTATTTTCAATCAATCACGTGATTAATTTTTTAGTAGATCTAGACTTATTTTGTTTGTGTTTAACTATCATGCTTATAGCATGCTAATGACGCTATGGTCCAATCAATGTTGTGGGTAAGTTTGGGGGCTGGGGAGTATATGGTGGAGGCTTTCGTGCTTCTTTATCAAAAGCAATTTAAAATTTAAAAAAATAATAATAAAAGCAAGCAAAATACAAACATCTTTAAAAAAAAAACAAAGCTTATTTAAAGGGATATAACGCTGCCCTTTAAAGTATATTTATCATATATGTAAACGTGAATTTTCTTATTCGATACCAAACAAAAAAAATAATTACCAATAATTGCGTATTTTTTTTATTGATTCATGTTTTGTGAGCTACAATAAATAATTGTTTAAGGTATCAACTTGTTCGGAGAATGCGCGAGGGAGAAACGGCGTAAGCAATGCTTTAAGGTGACTAAACCAACAAATTTAGCCATATCTATGAATACTGGATAATTAGTTTCCCTTGTTGGTATCAAACAAGATAATTCATTACCAGTAATTAATTGACTAGTTGTTTCCTTCTTTTTATTGATTCTTGTCTTGTCTATGTCAATGAAGAATTGTGTAAAGTTTCAACTTGATCCGAGAATAGGTGTAGGAGACAGACAGACAAACAGACAGACAGACAAGGTTGATATAAGCTTTGTAAAAAGCAAGAATCGAAGAATGGAAGCAGTCTTAACAATAGAAAGTTGTATAGTCAATTGTTAGGTTTGAAAATAATTTTAGCGACCTTATTCAATACACACG